TTCCAGTTTGGCCTATGTGATGTTTCTCACAGTCCTTGCATGGTATTTTGTATATTTTATTGGTTGTGGGTATGTTCGTCAGTAGCTGTCGCAGGATGGTTGTTGGTTTGTGGGCTACCCTGATACCTAGGGGTCTGAGTAGTAGGCCGGAGTAGTAAAACAGAACTGGAAGTGACGCCAACCACCTCAGCAAACAGAGACATATAAATAACAACCAGAACAGAACACCAACACTTCACTGGAGGCGATGTTACCTAGCAGGGCGATGAAATTTCTGCAGTCAAACACACCGGCTCGGTGAACAAGTCTACAAACTCATCCACAACCCGAGCTACAAATCTTCTCTAAAACTTATAATAGACATGGTACTGTGCAACAAAGTAAAATCAATTCAAGATTTGTAGTGTAGGCACCTTATTTAGCAGCTACAACATGATTGAATTTTACATTTAGATTGAGGCAGAAAAGACTATGTCCCACACCTAAATAAGGGCAATTATGGGGTGGTCATGGCCTAGTGGTATTATCACTGGATTGTTAATCCAGAGACCCAGGTAATGTTCTGAGGACCCGGGTTCAAATCCCACCATGGCAGATGGTGGAATTTGAATTCAATAAAAATCAAAGAGTCTAATGATGACCATTGTCGATTGTTGGAAAAAAAACCATCTGGTTCATTGATGTCCTTTAGGGAAGGTCACTGCCATCCTCACCCGCTGGGTAATAAATGCTGCCTAGCCAGCAATGCCCTCATCTCATGAATGAATAAAAAACGAAAGCAGAACAAAATAAAAGTGAACTAGCAGAGAGATGAATCAATAGAGTGGATATTTCAAAAAACACAAAATAGATGCAATCCAATGGGAAAGACAAATTCCAAACGGAGAATCTATTCTCTTAAATTAACTGAAGTTGAAGATACTATCAGACTTAAAAAATAGCATATAATTAGTAAAGATGAGTTGTAGGTCAGAAAATGGGCAGAATATAAAAATCAAAGAATGACTAAAAAAAAACAATCAGGAGAAAAAGTAAGTACATAAGAGGAAGTTTACAATAAATATAAGAACAGATAGCACGAGATTCTATATATATTTTAAAAAGAGTAAACTAACTGAGCAATGGTCCTTTAGGCAGTCTCTGGGAATTGATAATGGAAAATAAAGAAGATAGCAAACATACAGAATAAGTATTTTGCACTAGTCTTCACTCTAATCAATACAAGTAACATCTTAGAACTAAGTAAAACAATGAAATCATGAAATGGAAGGGAGGAACTCAAGAAAATTACAATCTCGAGGGAAGTGGGAATGAACAAATTGTTGGCGCTGCAAGCTGTCAAACTCCCAGGTATTGGTAGGCTTCATTTGAGTGTATTAAAGGAAATGACCAATGAGATTCCAAATTCCACAGATTTGGCAAAATGGATTGTGTAACTACAGTTCAAAAAGGGGAAAGAAACAGAAAGCAAGGCCAGTTAGCTTAACACTTGCCATGGGGAAAATGGTGATGTAACAGGGCACTTAGGTAAGTTTAAGGTAATCAATCAGGCAGTCAACATGGCTTTGTGCAAGGGAAATAGCGTTTCACCAATTTATTGGAGTTCTGAGGAATTAACATATGCTGTGGATAAAAGGAAACCAGTGAATGTATCATATTTAGATTTCCAGAAGGCATTTGATAAGGTGCCAGATCAAAGATTATTGTGGAAAATAAAAGCTCATGCAGCCCATGGGTGGGTACACCAACAATGCTGTTAGGTATAGAGTTTTAGGATGTTGATTAGGCGACAGTTAAGCAACTCCTGACTTGCATCTTGTAGATAGTGAACAGGCTGCGGGGAGACAGTAGGTGAGCTACTCGTTGCAGAATTCCTAGTCTCTGATTTTCTCTTGTACCCACAGCAGTTATACACCAGACCTGTTCAGTTTCTGGTCAATGCTAATCCACAGGGTATTGATAGTGGGAATTTCAGCGATAGTCATGCTATTGAATATAAAGCATCAGTGGCTAGATTCTCTCTTGTAGAAGGTCACTGCCTGGCACTTCTGCAGCACAAATGTTACTTACTATTTTTCAGCCCAAGACCCTTTCTGCATTTGGACATGGGCTGTTTCAGTATCTGAGGAATTGCAAATGATGCTGAATATGGCACAATCATCAGTGAACATCCCCACTTCTGGTCTTATGACGAAATTCCTGCAGTCATGTCCTGGAGCTGAGATGACTAACATCTAACAATCACAAGCACTTCCTTTGTAATAGGTATGGCTTCAGTTTTGTTAAGGGTCCTTGATGCAACACTCAGTAACATGTGGCTTTGATGTCACGGACAGTTACGCTCACCTCCCTTCTGGAGTTCAGCCATGTTTGAACTAAGGCTGTAATGAGGTCAGGATCTGAGTGGCCCTGGCAGAACCCAAACTGAGCGTCAGTGAGCAGCTTATTGCTAAACAAGTGGTTCTTGACTGCACTTTTTGTGATTTCTTCCATCACTTTACTGATGATTGATATTTTTACCATATTGCTAGGGCCAATGGACTTTGCAGTATCCAGTGCCTTTAATCATCTTCCATGTCGTTTAGAATGAACTGAATTGGTTAAAGGCTGGCATTTGTCTAGCTGGGACCTTCAGAGGAAGTCAAGATGAATTACCCAGTCAGAACTTTTGCTTGATGACTGTGGCAAATGCATCAATCTTACTTTTTGCACTGATGTGCTGGGTTCCCCTTGGATAAGAAAATTTGTGAAGCCCCCTCCTTCAGTGAACTGTTTAATTGTGTTGACTGCAGAGCTTAGATCTGGCAGAATGGCCTCCTTCTAACCATGACAATACTGTGCTTCCGAGAGATCTAATCCATTGGTTGTGGAATCACTTAGCTTTGCCTATCATTTGCTGTTAATGTTGTTTGGCATCAAAGCAGTCCTGTATTGCAACATCACCAGATTGACACCTCATTTTTAGGTGTATGCCTGGTGCAGCTTCTGGCATGTCCTTCTGAACTTTTCATTTAACTAGGGTTGATACCCTGGCTTGAGGGTATTGGCAGAGCAAGGGATATGCCAGGTCAGTTGGACATGACATACCCAGGCTTAGTCATACAGCTATCAGGGATATTGCCTACAGTTTACGATTCTGAGAGCATGACTATGAGACAGTTCTCCCAATTTTGGCATTAGCCCTCAGACATTATTGAGAAGGACTCTGTAGGGTCAATAAGGCTGAGACTGCCATTGTTTCCAGTGTCTCAGTCAATGCAAGGTAGCCCATCTGGTTTCATTCCTTTAAGATTTTGTAGCAGGTTGATGTAATTCAGTGGCTTGTTTGGCCCTTTCAGAGGCAGTTAAGGGTCAAGATTGCTATTGGTCTGGAGTTACATGTAGGCCAGACCAGATGAGGACAGCATATTTGCATTCCTTAAGGACATTAGTGAACCAGGTGGGTTTTAATGACAAATCAAAAATGATTTTCCAGTCATCATTATACTTCAAGGACCTTCAATTTGCCAGCTTCATGCTGCTCAAGAGCAATATCAGGTGTCAGGGCCCAAATATTGACAATTTATTTTAATGACTTGGATGTACTGTATGACATAGAATGTACTGTAGCCATATTTGCATACAACATGAAAATAGGCGGGAAAGTAAGTCGCAATAAAGAAATAAGGAATTGACACGTGGATATGGATAGGTTAGATGACCAGGCCAAAATCTGGCAGACAGAATTTAATGTTGATAAGCTAAGGTTATGGTCAGAAGAATAGAAAGGAAATATATCATTTAAATGGAGAGAAACTTCAGAGTGCTTCAGTGCAGAGAGATATGGGTGTCCTCATGCATGAATCCCAGAAAACTAGCATGCAGGTGCAACAATTAGTAAGGAAGGCAAATAGATTTTTGGCATTTATTACTAAAGGAAGACAGTATGAAAATAGGGAAGTATTGCTGCAAGGATACAAGGCATTAGTGAGACCATATTGGGAGAATTGTGTACAATTTTGGTCCTCTTACTTTAGAGGGGATGTAATTGCATTGGAGGCAATTCACAGGAGGTTCACTAGATTGATTTCAGAATGAGGGGTTTGTTTTTTGAAGAGATATTGAATGGTTTAGACCTATATCTCTGGAGTTCAGTGGAACGAGAGGAGGGCTAACTAAGGTGTACAAGAGGCTAAAGGGGACTGTCAAAGCAGACATGGGCAGGATGTTTCCTCTGTGGGGCAATCTAGAGCAAGAGGTCAGTTTTAGGACAAGGAGTAGCAGATTTAAAACTGATGAGAATAAATTACTTCTGAAAGGGCTGTGTATCTGTTGAAATCACAACCCCAACCCTATAATGTGGTGGATGCCAGGGCATTGTGTAAATTTAAAGAGGAGATTGATAGATTTTTAAATAATAAAGGGTTGAAGTGTTATGGACAGAAGGCAGAAAAGTGGTGTTGAGGTTGAGACGAGATTAGCCATGATCGTATTGAGTGGCAAGCAGGCTCGAAGGGCTGAATTGCCATTCCTGCTCCTAGTTCTTACACTCATATGTTCTAACTCCATATTTTTAAATTCAAATTCCATCATTTGCTGTGCTGGGTGCAATGTCAGGTTCCCAGAACATTACCTTGGTCTCCAGATTACTAGTCCAATGACAATGTTGAACGCAATTAATATGCAAACAACAGTGTACAACAAGTAAACATTAGATAATGCTCCAGAATTACTCGTTCTTTAAATCTCAAACTCATAAGCAAGGCTTGGCAAGTTGGGGAGTATGAAATGAAGAATCATACGATTACCACAGAACTGTAGATGTATTAAACAGGTTTGTATGTATACAGGACTCAGCACACTGGAGAATGCAAGATCACAGACCTTTATGAGTTACCTTAATTATAAATAGAACCATATATGAACAAAAGAAACAAATTACCAAAATTTTAAAACTAAAAACAGGAGCTTCAAACACCAAAGGGGAATACAAACAAAAGTCCAGTTGAATAGGAACAAACCTGCAGGATTCTTTGCTTTGCCATCAGGATTGCTGCTCGTGGTTGATCCTGATGCTGCAGAATTTGACCCTATTGATGAGGATGGGCAGAGGTTCTTCTTAACTTTGGTAGAGGTGGTCAAAGTCAGTCCACTCGGTGCTCCAGCCAACAGATCATCATTGCTCCTGCTCTTGCTCTGTTGTATAAGGAGAAACCACAAGGATAAAGGTGCAGTAAATTTTAGTAATGTTAGCTGAATTTGCCTCAGGACATTTCCCAGAAGGTGGAGGTGTAATGACAGAAAACCCAGCTAAAATAATAAACAACCATCTCAAAAAATAATGTCCATGGGTTCAGACAACCTGGCGTAACTGGTCCAAAACAGTTAATTGTTGAGTGACCCAATTATTAAGAATATAACCAGAATTTTGATAACTGCAGGCAGTATTCTGTATAACCAAATTTGGAAGGTTAATCCTTCATCTGATTCACTACCCATAGTGATTATAATGAGGTCAGCCAGGTGGAATATAAATTCCCTGTTTGGGGCTATTAATCTGGTCCAATCAGGCAACCCTGGCTGACAGATAGAAACAGGAGTGTAAGAATGTCTGACACTCAGAGTGGCTCTGAGGGAGCTGGATAGTGTCAAGAACTTTCCACGTTTAAAGGGTGACTTAGCGATGGGATACCAGCCTCTGTGGAGTTAGTTCACAATCCTATCGCAACAATAAAACCTCTGAGATAGAAGAACATAACAGTGACATTAACAATACTGGTTGTTTAATAGAAGTTTTAATAAAAGATCACTGATTTGAAACATAGTTTCTGATGTTTTCTACTAAAATCAGTGCATGTAGTTAATTGTGTTACTGTATCCATACCTGTGCTAGTTAGCAAAGTCATTGTTCTAAAGGGCAACCAGTTCGCTGTGTGATGCTACTGTGGCTTCAAGAGGTGTATTTTGTCCTGGTTATTTTTCTTTGAAGGTAAGTTTTAAGAGAGAGGTACCAAGCTGTCTATTTGAATCTAATAAAGCAAAGACCTTGAAAGACTTTGGGTTTTTTTTAAAGAAGTTGGAAGCAGCCTGAATGGGTGGGGTCAAGCTTCCATAGAACCAGGATTTTTAGTTTTAGCATTTCAGTAGTCATTGATGGGGTCTTGAAGCTGGGTTTGGAAGTTGCTGCACATCTCTCCCTGCTATTCCCTCTCTCGGAGATCTTTCTTGATTTTTTTTTCCACCTGGACTGGAGAATTGTTTGTGAGACAAACTATTTTACTGAATTTGCTTTTGCCAAGGGTGTATTTATGGGATATTACGATAATGGCACAATTACTGCTTAGTAATTGATTAATCTATTAAGTTTTCCAGTAGAGTTATTCCAATTTCTGAGTGATAGCAAGAACTGCAGATGCTGGAGTCAGAGATAACAGAATGTGCAGCTGGAGGAACACAGCACGCCAGGCAGCCAACTGTTTTTCTGAAGAAGGGTCCCGACCCGAAACATCAACTTTCCTGTTCCTCTGATGCTGCCTGGCCTGCTGTGTTCCTCCAGCTCCACACTCAGTTATCTCTTATTCCAATTTCTTCTTTCTTTTGTTGTATTTTAACTACAGCATATGAATAAAATGTGTTTTGCTTCAAGGCTGGTGGTTTGCTCAATCAATTGGCATCCAGAATGCAACGCCTGGTACTTGCCTTTAAAATACAAAAAAAATTAGGGTCAAGATATCTTCTTAATATATTTTAAGGGGGTTTGGTCTGGTCCATAATAACTGTAAGACAGTTTCTCAGGAGGCTTTCAGGAGTTATATCCAACAACAATGTGGTTGATTTTTACATAATGAAAATAAAATACTGGTGTTTCTGGAAATCCGAAATAAAAAACAAATGCTGGAAATACTCAGTGGGTCTGGCAGCATTCCTAAAGAAGTAACAGAGTTAGTGTTTTGACTCAATATGACTCGTTGTCAGAACAATTTCAAGCTCAGCACAACACGGAACTTGTCTTCTGTGCCTTCACTTCTGTACCTTCACTTTTGTACACAGTTCTTTGGCCAGAAGGACTCCATGACCGCAGACCCTTTGATTATTTCCAGTATTCTCCCTTCATCTGGAAGATTCCCTTTGGTCTCTCACCTGCTCTTGATTTTTTCTTTGTAAATTGTTGACTTGATATTTGCTGTTTCAATGTCTTTGCTTCCCTCATTCACTCTAAACTACCTCCCCCTGAACTTAGCACATCACGTTGTGCCCCATGAAAATAACTGAACACCGAAGTATTTGACTCGCTATTAACTCGGTCTTTCTCTTGACGAATACCATGAGCCCTGCTGAATATTTCCAACACTGTTTTCACTTCTAGTTTCTCAATTCTTCTCTGAAATGGCCTAATAGGCGACTCAGACTGTTATGTGGTGGATATGACGGATAGGAATAAAACTAGATATATCATTTGACATCAAGCAAAGCACTAGACAGAACAGAGGTGCTCCCAATCCAGTTGATTATGTGATGGCCTTCTCGCAAACATCTGGGGTTTAAGAACATATGAAATAGGAAAAGGAGAAGGCAACTCAGCCCTTGAACTTAAAATGCTGTTTTAGCCACAACTAGAGTATTGTGTGCAGTTCTGGAATCCACATTATAGGGAGGGAAGGCTAGCATGGCTAGTGTGCAGAGGAGATTTACTAGGATACTATCTGGACTAGAGAGTTTTAGTTATGAAAAGACATTGGACAGACAGGGATTGCTTTCCTTACAGCGCAGGAAACTGAGTTGGGAAAATATGATTGAGGTGTATAAAATTATGAGGGAATAGATAGGGTAGACAGCAAGGAACTTTTTCCCTTGATTGTAGGATCAATGATTGGGGGAGGGGGTTGGAAGAGATCCTTCAGAGCACGTAAAAGTTAGTTAAAACTGAAAGAACTGCAGATGCTGTAAATCAGGAACAAAAACAGAAGTTGCTGGAAAAGCTCAGCAGGTCTGGCAGCATCTGTGGAGAAAAAAAATCAGAGTTAACGTTTCGGGTCTGGTGACCCTTCCTCAGAACCAGCCCCGAAGTGTTAACTCTGATTTTTTCTCCACATAAAAGTTAGTGTTTTGGTTATTTATTAATTCCCTCTGGTTGATGTGGCTATATTTGCCTAAAAGTCAGGATTCTTAACAGCTAATTTTCTGCAGTTGCTCAGCTACTAAGATGCTAAAATGTTGGACCAGAAATCTATGCATACTCCTACTTCCAAGTAGAAGAGCCTCACAGGCCATATTGAATAGCCATCTTAAGCTACTTCATCAATGACCTTTTCACCATCATAGAGTCAGAAGTGGGGATCCTTGTTCATGATTGCACAATGTCCAGCACCATTCACAACTCCTCAGGTACCGAATCTGTCCATGTCCATACGCAGCAAGGTCTGGACAATGTTCAGGTTTGGGTTGAAGAGTGGTAGTTAACTTTAATACCGAACCAATGCCAGCTAATGGCCATCTCCAATAAGAGAGAATCTAACCATCATCCCTTAACATTCAGTGTCATTGCCATTGGCCAGTATCCCGCTGTTAACGTCCTTGAGGGTTACCTTTGGCCAGGAACCTAATTGGACCCATCATGTGTATACTCTGGGTGGGTCAGAGGCCGGGAACTCTGCAGTGAGATAACTCTTGTCCTCTTAGGGCCTGTCCACCAACTGCAACACGCATCTCAGGAGCGGGTTGGAGTGCTCAGAAGAAAGCAATGGGGTCGATTGGCACCCTTTTCACCAGTTTAAATGGTCAATTCCACAAACACTGACTCACAAGTGGAAGCAGTATATATCATATACGAGGTCCACTGCAACAGCTCACCAATCTTCTTTTGACATTACCTTCAAAAGCATCAGCTTCTGCCACCTAGATGGATGGAGACATCTGAGACATGGAAACACCATCTGCAAGCGCTCTCCAAGCCAAACACAAACCTGATACGGAACTGTGTCGTTGCTCCTTCAATGCCACTATGTCACCAGACAGAATACAGCAGTTTAAGGCAAGAGCCCCTACAGTCTTCTTGAGGCAGATAAGGGATGGGCAACAAATGCTGCATTACATCCACATCCCATGAAAAACTTTTTTAAAAAATCGCAATCCAGTACTTGTTAATGATGGAACGAGTATTCAGGATCCAATTCAAGATGTTGACAGTCAGCTTGCTGATCCTTCCAACATTGTCTCCTTATTTCCAAAAAGGGAAAATTGTGTGTGAAGATACCAAACAGGCAAACTTACCTGAAGTGATGATGGAATACACACCACTTTACGTTATATTCACTGTAGCCGTGAGGTGTCTGATCTCTCTCCCTCCCTCTTGATCTATCCCACCCAGCAATTCTCCCATTCCTGATACACCAACCGCCAACCCTGGCCTCTAATTCTTCAGACAGTATGCAAAATATGTAAGCATGTGCTTCTCCTCAACCATCCCATCACCACCTAATCGTTGATTCCTTTTGTTGTCTCTGTTTCTGTACTCACGCCCAGCCAATCATCCTTCATTGGAGGGATTCTAATTAATAATATTAATAAGTCTGAAGCCCCCTATCCAGTTGTTCTCTGCACTTCCTGAAAATTGCTCTCTCACATTTCTGCACCATTAAAATATTGTACTGTTTAAGGAACTGAGTAAGTTATCTCGGTAATATTTATTATTGCTTAACCTCCTGCTTTCCAGCCCAGAGCACCTCAACGTGCACCAAGAATTTTTGTTGCCTGTTTTTATGCTTATATTCAAAATATTGGGTATCTGCAACTTTCGCCTTGAATGAGACAAAACTGTAACAGGATTGTCCACTAGGAGATAATATACCTAAAATTTTGTACCTAGGTACCTTTGTACTTGAGATGGCACAGTGAATGGCGACTTTGTACACTTTTCACTGTTTTCCTGTATCCCTGTACTTGAGTACATGCAACAATAAAACCTAATTCTAATTAAGGTAAGGGATGTGAACTTTAAAGGGGATGCAAGGAAAAATGTTTTCACCCAGAACTCACTGCTTCTAATGAAGGCAGAAACCCTCATAACATTTATGAAGCACTAGGATGTGCACTTGTGATGTTAGTAAATACAAGGCTCTGGGCCAAATGCTGGAAAATGGGATTAGGATAGTAAGGTGCATGTTGTTGATCAGCACAGTCTCGAAGGACTGAAGCAT